CAGCAGTTGCCGTTGTCCGTGCTGCTACCAGTTGTACTGCTAGTACTGCTGCTGCTGCTGTTGCTGCTGCTGCAGCAATCCTGGAGAGAAGTATCTCTTGTCATCTCCGCCAGGATTTGTGATACCTGGAAGTTTATAGGTCTGCACACAAACAAAACCCTAAACCCTAAACCCTAAACCCTAATTTTGGGGTCTAAACCCTAAACCCTAAACCCTAGTTGGAAGTGTTATTTGTATAATAAGGACTGACGTGTCTTGTGGATTGACGGCATCTCTTGGTCCCCTCAAGGGTAAATATTCATGATTATTTCCTTGGGGCCCCCCTTGTTGGGGTGTATCCTGATGGGGGCCCCCTGGGGCCCCCCCTAATGGGGCATAAAGGGTAGAAAAGGTACGGGTAGCAGCAAGGGCCTGCAGCAAGACATTGAAGCAGCAAGTCTTGCCTAGATTAAGGAGACCAGGGGGGGGCTGGGGGCCCCCCTGTATACAGGGGGAAGAGGGTACTAAGGAGGTCATGATGGGGGCCCCCCTTGTAGTTGGTGTTGTTGTTGGTGGTAATAGAAGGGTATTGGGGGCCCCCCTCCTATAAGAAGAGAAGAAAAAGAAGAAAAAAGAAGAAAAAGGAGACAGTTATAATTAAGGAAAAAAAGGAGACACTTTATTATTAATAAAGGGCCCAAGGAGAGGGCAGCGGAGGCCCCTGTAGGGCCCCGCATGAGCGCAAGAATAGTACCCTATTTTTTGCTGCTGCTTTCTTCTTTATAGATATATAAATATATATAAGAAAATATGCATGCAGCAGCAGCAGCAGCAACAGCAGCAGCAGTAGTAGTAGCAGCAGCGGTGGCAGTATAGGGAGAGCCACACACGAGCTGTCTATACACCTGAACTGCAAACAGCAACAACGTCCGTTACTTTGCTGCAGCAGCAGGTTTGCTGCTGCTGCTGCTGCAGCAGCAGCAGGAATATGCCCGCAGCAGCAAAGAGGCACGAGGTTGGAGCGTGCTGCTGCAGCGGGTACCTCTGCAGCAGCAGGAGCTGCAGCAGCAGCAGCAGCGGCAGCAGCAGCTGCTGCAGTATTATAGAGGGGTTAAAAGGTTCGTATAATAGAATCCTGTAGATAAAGGTTGTTGCTGCTGTTGCTGCTGCTGCTGTAACTAATGTTGCTGCTGCTACTGCTGCTGCTGCTGCTGCTGCTGCTGCTATTGCAGCAGCTGCTGCTGCACCCCTATAAGGGAGATGATGAAGGATATAGAGGAAATAAAGATGTAAATAAAGATAAAATAATAATAAATAATAAATAAATAAATAACAAGAAGAAAAGGTAAATCTTCTTCTTTATTCAGGTGTACATACACCGCAGCAGCACGGTGCGGCAGCAGGGAAGAGAAGAAGGAAGGAAGGAAAAGGGAGAGAAAGAGAGCTGCTTATTTATTTATATATATAAATAAATAAATAAATAATAAATATATAAATAAATAAATATAAATATTATTTATTTATTTATTTGTTTATTTATTTAATAGACGCGCAGCAACATATACCTATTATAACCACAACCCCCTTTCTATATACTATACTACTGCAGCAGCAGCAGCAGCAGCAGCAGCAGCAGCAGCAGCAGCAGCAGCAGCAGCAGCTGTATATACACCCCAGTGGGGGTATATAGATATATATAGATAGAGGAGTATCTATATTGCACGAATATATTTTTTTTTCTTTTTTTTTTTCTTTTTTTTATTTTTTTTATTTATAATTAATTATTTATTATTTATTTCTTTTTTTATTAATTATTTTCTTTTTTTATTGTATATTTATTCTTAATTAATATACAGCAGCAAGCAAGGAGGAGGCTAGCAGCAGCAGCAGCAGCAGCAGCAGCAGCAGCAGCAGTTGGAGCCGCCCCCTTTCCCGTTCGAGGGTTTAGGGTTTAGGGTTTTGGGTTTAGGGTTTAGGCAGAAATAAATAGACAAGTTATTTGTTTATTTATTTATTTATTTATTTATTTATTATTCTCTCCTTCTTTCCTGCAGCAAATGCATGCACGCACCTGCCTATACACCGTAGATGCACAATAGATGTATAATTATATACTCTATATGCTGCTGCGCAGCATATAGATAGCAACAGGTGCTGCTGCTGCTGCTGCTGCTGCAATAACAGCAGCAGCAGCATAAATATATATAAAAAATAAATAAATAAATAAATAGATAAATAAATAAATAAATAATAATTGTTTATTTATTTATTTAGTTTGTTGCTCTTAGCTACCCTTATATAAGAAAGAAGAGGGAGTCGTGCTGCAGCAGCAGCTGCAAATAATGCATGCATGCATGCAAATAAGTAAATAAGCATTGGCGCAGCATCCGTGCTGCTGCTGCTGCTGCTGCTGCCTAGAGAGGGAGGCAGATAGTACTAGACATGTAGCAGCAAGTGTTGCTGCTGCTGCTGCTGCTGCTGCTACATGGCAGCAGCACGGGTACGAGAAGCAATATTGCAT